TGGGGGGATTTAACAGCCGGGCAGAGGCGGTGCTGAGGGGTGGGATGGCAGGGGTAGGGGAACAGTTGAGCTTGATGATCTTAAAGGGCTTTTCCAACCTAAACAATTCTGTGATTCTAGGTTGGTCCTGATTTGTAAAAACCCTCTCGCCAACAGCAGCATGGGAAAGGCACACACAGAGATGCAATGAGGACACATTCAACCACATCTACTCAGCAAAGGTGCCCACTGCTGACTTCAAAGGGAGTTAATGTGAGCAAGGAGCACTTGTTCTCTTGGTATCAGAGCTCACATCCAATACCGCTACTTTGTCAGTGCTGATAACAAAATATCAGGTGGATTAAAATCCTTCTGGAAGCTGTCCCACCCAAGGAAATGAGCCACCCCTTCTGAAGGCAGGCTGATGTCCCCAAAGGACAGAAAAATCAATTTGCTGAACCTCCAGTTTTTAACAGCAGACTGCGTCCTAATTTATCTCGCCAAACAAAGAGCTTTAACTTCTTAAGTGCTCTCCTGGCAGGGCTTCTGCAGCACATTCAATATGTCTTCGAGATGCCGCCACCTTCTCAGAAGCCAAATGGTGAATGGGTCACGTTTATCTCCATGGGGCGAAGTAAGCTGAACCTCCGCAGCCCTGCAGGCCACGTCTCACCTCCCCCTCCTCTTCACCTCCTCTCCCTGCCCACCAGCTCTGGGCCAGACCCCCTTTGGGTCCGAGAGGTGAAGCAAGAGGCATCATTCACTGCCTGCTTCCCCAGGCTCCTCTGGTGGGGCTGGTGCTGCCCTCAAGGAACAGGCTGGGGTGGGACAACACAACATCTCTCATTAAATTCACCCCTCTCACCCCAAACCTCCAGCAGGTCATGGTTATGGCATAAAATGGGAATTTCATCTTGTTTGTACAGAATACAAAATTTTCAGCCCAATTGAGGAAGGCGGTCAGTCTTCTCTGGGATCAGTGGCAGGCACGGCTCCGCAAGGGCTCTCTTCTTCTAGAATTAAATAAGCTTGTGTCTGATAAAGTGAACAGGCTGGTGAAAGGAGAGTCCATGGAGGATCTGAAGACACGTAACATTGCTATAGCGTTGCTCCAGGGAGTTACTGAAATAAAGTCGGGAGCGGTTGGTGCCACAGCTGCAAACGGCTGCGTTTGGCCCTTGCTCACTGCTATCGACGTGGGGCTTGGTCTGGTGGCCAGAGAGATTAATGAGGAGTAGAAAACAGTGAACAAAAAGCTCCTGACACACTCGGCAGCTGCCCGTAACCCTATCTGTCCTTTAATCCCTTTGGGAAGCAAGGGTCTGGGTGTCTATCAACTAGTTGTATGAGTACTGGGGATATTTATTTAACGTTTGCTCGGCACTCAGCTCAACCCCGACGTTTCTGCTGCCTTAACACACATTCGCCCTCGTCCTTACCCCGGCGCCGAGGCCGGCTGTGGCTTTGCAGCCCGCGCAAAGGTGGCTTACTGGAAGGGTGGAGGTAGACGATGTCCTTCACGGTGAAGTCCCTGGGCTGCACGGCGGGCAGGCAGCCGGCCAGCAGGCTGAGCAGCAGCACCCACGCCGGCGTGGGCTGTGAGGCCATCGCCGGGCGAAGCCGTACTCATGCGGCGGCCGAAAAACCTGACCTGGGTGAGAGGAGAGAACAGGGGTGAGCAGAGCAAACCCGCGAGGAGCCCGGCCACCACCTCAGCCCCCAGCAACCCAACCTCCCCCAAACCATGATGCTCCTGTGAACCCTCAGCTGCCCTCCCGTGGGGGCAGGCAGCGGTGTCGTTACTCCAGCTCAGCTTCAGGGACATCCATGGCACCAGCTGGGAAAAAGGGCTTGGGCAAACCCTCTCCCAGCCAGAGATGGGCAAATGGGAGCCGAGGGGAAGGGCGGTCGGGTTTGTCACCATTTGTAATTTAACTGGTGGGCATCTGGTTTTCATAAACCTCAGTAGGATGTTGATAAAGTCATCGGAGACTGTGCCACGAGGGGATTTAACCGCCTCTTTTAGAGAATACTGGAAAAGTGCAGAATTAGACCGGGAAGAAAGGAAACAGGGTAGCTGGAGCCCTGCCGGGATGCCCGGGGGAGCAGCGATGGCTCTTCCACACTCCGACAGAGGCTCGCACCCCTCTGAAATGCACCTTCTCAGCAAACCAGAAGCTCCATATGACTTTCCACATATCTCAGGAAAGGCAAGGAGCTCCAGGTTGTCTCTAACTCCAGCTGGCTCCCGTTAATAACATAAAGCGATGATTGCATTTTCCTCAGCCATGCTCCAAAGGCTCTTATGCCCTCCATGACAAACGATGCCAAGTATTTTTCCCACATCCCTGAGTGAAGGGAACTAATTTAAGCAGAAACAAATACCCGCTGCGGTACCGCTCGTGAAGCCATTCCAAAAGCCAGCAGCTTTTTAGGAGCATCCCCATTCCTGCGCCCGGGCTGCAAGGAGCCCTCCAGGAATAGACAACACTAACACATCGTTAAATACACAGCTCATATCATTACAGTTCCTTAAAAATGAGGAAAAACATGCCTCGGAAACCAGGCGGGACAGGATAGCCCCAAGAGGATGCGGCTGCTGAGCCAGGCAGGAGCTGCTGGTTTCCCCTGGCTGCTGGCATCCACCCAGCACGCACAGGGTTGGGGTTTTGGTTTTTTTTTTCCACTCGGACTGACCAAGAGATCTGCCATACCCAGCTATTTCCCTGGCAACTTTCAAAGTGTGGTAGCTATCATTTAATAAATCATTTTTTGGTTTGTTGTTTGGTTTGGGTTTGGTGGGTTGGTTTTTTTATCCCAGAAAAGGTGTTCCAGGGGTGGGGATGTAACCTTCCCCCTCCGCCTCCAAATGTTTGTCTCGCGGCAGGGACCCACACAGGACTGGCAGCATGAGGGCCATCTGGGCGGCTCTTGTTATCCTTGGCTCTTATCTGAAAACAGCCCTTTAATTAAAACATCGTGAGAGCCATAAAAATCGTGAGGGAAACAGATAACGCATCGTGCGGTGCATCAAACTTTGTTGGTTTAACCTGACGAAGGGGGAAATGCCAGTTTCCATTGGGTTTGCTCCACAGATGCGTATCAGCCAGGGGAAAATGAAATCCTGATTACAAGCAGAAAGGAAATAAAACAAACCTCTCCCAGCCACGTGAAAGATGAAAGGGATGGGACCAGCGGCTCTCTGTGGGGTCTGGAGGGACATCCCCCAGCAAAGCCAGCTGGAGCCCACCTCGGTGAGGGAGCGGGGCATGTGCGTGGGTTCGGGGCTATGCACATTTTTGGGTTTCTCATGGCCAAATACACACGGACCCGGAGCTGAGCTGGCCAAATGCCAACGCCGTCCTGACGGTCCTGAGCTGAGGACAAGAGGAGCCATCAGCTGCACAAGCAATGGCACTGGGTGTAGAATCATAAAATAGAATCATAGAACTGTTTAGGTTGGAAAAGCCCTTTAAGATCATCAAGCCCAACCATTCCCCTAACCCTGCCATCCCACCACTAAACCCTGTCCCTCAGCACCTCGTCTGCCCGGCTGTTAAATCCCCCCAGGGATGGGGACTCGCCCATCTCGACGGTAGACACACTCGAGGCCAAAGCACGTATCTGTAGGTAACACAAGTCACACGTGATGCTCAGCATGAGGGGACAAGATGTGTTTGGATTCCCGAGCTGCGTGTCCCCTTTCCTACCCAAGAGGAGCCCAGCCCACCACCTCACACACCTCAGCCCCTTGGCCTGACCAGAGCCACTCAACGGCAACCGGATTTCACACGTGGAAATGGCTTAATATTCACACTGTTCAGGCAATTAAGGTTTGGAGGAGAGAGGGATTTGGAGATTATTTTTTATCCCAAAGAAAACATGGCAGATTTTACAAGCCCCATTATTCTTTTCAAGAAATGGGCAGTTTGCAGGGAAACTCCTTGTCGGCTCACACGGTCTCAGCAGCAATCCTGCATTACAGCACAAAAATATTAGGACCCCCATCCCAAAAAGAGGAGCTCGTAGCTCAACACGAACTCTCCTTGTCAACATAAAGGACAAATTGCAATATTTTACCTTAAAACACAGAAAGGTTAAAATAATGGCACGAATTCCTCCCAAGTATAAGAAGATTTAACAGCCGGGCAGAGGCGGTGCTGAGGGCCAGGGTTTGGGGGTGGGATGGCAGGGGTAGGGGAACGGTTGGGCTTGATGATCTTAAAGGTCCTTTCCAACCCAAACATTTCTATGATTCTGTGATATTAAGAAATTAATTTCTTGGGTTTTCTCACCATAATCACAGAGGCCCTTGTATCTACAGTACTGAGCAAAGTCTTCCTGTTGAGGACATTGGTTTTCCCTCTTATCATACACGCTCCCTTTCACGGGACCACTCGCTTGCTCAGCCCATCTCCATGTGCAGCCGTTAGCACTTGCCTCGTCGTCAGATTCGGAAGCTGAGCGGCTTAGTCCTGCCTGAAAGGGCGGCAGAAACCCTCCAGCTGCACGCTAAAAATACTCGCATCGTGCCTCTTGTCATTACAAGCAGCTTAATTGCTGACACCACCCCTAACGAGTCGCAAGAACCACAAATGGATGTATAGAACTCACTTCCCCACCCCTATTTTATACGCTCAGAACAGATTTAATTATAGGCAAGGGATTAAAATTTTTAAAAAACCCCTCTGTGTTATAAAACAACCCCGGGCAGACCAGAGCAAGGCCAGCCTGGCCAGTGTTTTGAACTATGGGGGTTAATGAAGTAGAAAGTATTTACTGAACAAAAAGCCCCCCCACCGCTGCTCTTCACAGCAAGCCTGGTCTACCTGGTCGTTCCATACACATGTAGATACCATAAAAATAGATATTTCTGCGCAGATCGAAGTACCTACCTACTGTTAGAAACCCCAATACTCAGTATTTCAAAAATATTTCGAGTACACACGCATGGGTACACGTAGTTCTGTCTTTCCCAGGGGGCAAAACACACGTACAAATATACTACATCCGATGGGGAAAATACCCGTCGATGTTTGAGGCAATACTGGTATTTCACAGAGTGGAATATCGACGCCTATTTTGAATAAAGTCAAACATATTCAATAATTACTGTTCAGCACGGTAATTCTGTGAGTGCACTCATTCTTTCTGTTTTTACCCACACACCTGCCCAAAAAAATAAAACGCAATCGCTTTTTTGTTTTTTTAAGGAAAGGGTGCATATATATGGAAGCACTGCCTTAAAACCTGTAGACATTTGACAAGAAATTGTTTTCAGTCACACTTTTTTCCCCCAAATCATCCAAAATGACATTTTTCTGCAAAGACGGCTTCTTTCCACAAAGCCTGTAAGCCCCTAAGAAGCTTCACCAAGGGCATGGAGCCTTTTTGTTTTGCTCACAAGCCCCTTTTTTAGTTCATGGCTTTCAGCCAAACCCACCAAACGCTGTACAAAAATATTTTATTCAAACAGCGATTGCCGACAGATCAGCTACCCCCGTGCTAAACCGCGGCTCGCAGGACAGACGTGTTCTCCACATCAATTCCTTCCGAATTAACTCGGCTCCTTTCCAGATGCCGTAGCCTCCCGTGCATAGCAGCGTGCACCCACCAACCTAATAGAAGATGGCATGGCCCGCTCTGGATTTGATACCGGACTGCGGTTAGGGGAAATAGTCACACGGTATTTAGATCATACAGTCTGTTTATAAAAGGTCTTGGGCGCTGACACAGAAATCCCAGTTAACTCAATCTTTCCAGCTTCACCAGCACCTTTCAGATGGAAAGGCATCTCCATCCCTGCTCTGCAGCAGGATTACTTCTTCCTGCCCTTTGCCCTGACACGGCGCTATGGAAATTAACCATTAAATTCCCTAAGCAGCAGCCCAATTGCCCATTTGTCAGGTCTCATTAGGGTGGCGACATGTCCTCCTCGCTGTCACCAGGGCTGGGGACAATGGAAGGTCCCATCCTCCAAGGACGACTGGGGAGCCCTCGAGCAGAGGCGCTGCCGAACGGCAGACCTCCGGTTTGGGAGGAGACAAGTTGTCAGAGAGAACAGTTATTTGTCAGGATGCATTTGTCCCTCCTGTCCCTCTCACAAGCTCAGTAGATACCTGCTAGCTGGTCTGCACTGACGGCCACGAGCTGGGCTGCTGCCAGCTGCAAGGTTGCAGCAAACATTGCAGCATTTCAGGAGGAAAAAAAAGAAATGTCAGACACCAAATGTTCCCATACAACTATTTGGCCAAAGCTAGGCATGAAGTAATTCCTGGTTTGTGGGCATTTCTCTGGTCCCCCTCCTTGTGAAAGCACGGCATGTGCTGTGGTGTTCAGTGCCCCTCCACCTCCCTCCTGCGGGGGATGAAGCATTGCCCTGCTCTCCCTGGACATCCGGTGCAGATGGAGGTTGCCCGGTCTCACAGGAGGTTGATGCTTCAGCTGAAATCTCAGCTCCACCTTCCTCCTACATCTCCTCCTCGCTGCCTGGGCCACATCTCCAAGTTCTATAGCCTACTACCTCATTCCATCTCGAAGACATTCTCTCTTATCTCTTCACTTGGAAGAGCCTCCATCTCAGAGCGCCCTAAAGCAACACTTCTTTC